TAGATGCAGCGCAAGTCTACCGGCACTATAAACCCCTGCGCAAGTCACCGTCCCTGCTCCCACCGCTGCTGCAGCTGTGGGGCACACGGTGGACATCGTCGAAATCGACGGTCGAACTGTCGTGTGTGTGTGTGTGTGTGTGCCAGGGTGTTCGTGCACCAGACCCTGACAACGGGCTCCGCTTTAAATGCGCCGGACCAAAACAGGGACCAGATTGGGTCACGGCAAGCATTAACCAGGCTACCCAAAGTCCGCGAATCGCATAACAAATGCCACACTTGTGGGGTATAGTGGCTGACCTAGACGACGGTTTCACGCCGCACCAGCGGCTGCGCCGTATCGCCACATCAGACGGCGAACAGGCTCGGAGAGCGAACTGGCGAATGAGGTAGGAAGGAGGGAGTGAGGTTCACTCTGAGGCTTCATCCTCACGTAAGTTTCGAGGCATTCCTCTGTCAAGACGCCCTAACAGTCGTGGCTTTGAAGGCTGCCAACTGAAAAGACAAATCTGTCCTCTTCGGATGATGAGCCACACTCAATGGGTCGTCCCTAATGTGATCTCTCTGACACTCCCACACAGATGGACTTCGATCCCCTCCAGTTTAAACCTGACGCACTTCTCGGGGAAGACGTCGTGTGTGGCAAGTGTGGACGAGCTTTTAGCTTTGTCGGCCCGCGTGTACCCGAGTTCGCCTCCAGCCGTCCTGACTCACTTTTGCCACTGGACACTGAAGGGTGGGTTCTGAAGTTCGGCAGATGCTGCGCAAGTGCGCAATCACTGTAGACTAATTTACGCGGGAGTTACCGACTTATACCCCCCCCCCTGCCGTGGGCGTCATCCTCTGTGACGGTCCAACCGTTGTGTGTTAAGCTTGCGATCGTGTCATTAGGGAAAAATCTATTGTCTAACTCCTGGTCGTGTTCGTCATGCGCTCAGAGCTCAATTTAAGCAGCCCCTTTGCATCTACCCGACAGTTTGACCGTCGTTACCGACGATGTCCACCGTGTGCCGTATGGCGTGCTGAAAGCAGGAACAGTGACTTCATGTGGCTTACTTTATTATTGATAGTAGACTTGCGCGGAATCTTCCGCGCTTTCTCCTCTCCCACCTGGTTCCAGTGTCACGACAAAGTCAAGAGGTCCAGGTCCAGGCGAGGCGCAGGTGGCTGGCACGGTGTAAACCCGCACCTAGGCGTGCCGCCATACCCCAATGTTGACATTTGTTATGGGTGCACATTCCTGATAACGCCTTCCGGACTCCGATCTAGCTCTGGTGTTGGTTCCCCGTATCTAGCTCGTTTTAGGGGCAGTGCACCTACCCATCCCTCTGATGACCGACTTTCAATCGTTGTCCCCGTAACTCGTGTCCAGAAGTGACTGTCAAGATTGTTTAGCGGGAGTGAGTGACAGAGTGGGATCTTGATGGCAAGAGTGCATGCGCAAACTGTCTCTGATGCGAACGTTGAGGTTTCTGTGAGTGAGGCAAGACGGTCACTTTGATACATTGGTTAATCTCCTTGCGGTCAGTCGGTCGAATTCCAGGTAC